TCAGTGCCACCCAAGTCAGGTTTCTGAAATAAACTCTGCGGAAGATCTGTTGAAAACATCACTATAGTTATAAGGGAGGTACAAGTGCCACCCTAGTCAGGTTTTTGGAATGAACTCTGAGGAGATCCTGTGAAACATCACTATGGTTTATAAAGGGAGTCAGTGCCCACCCAAGTCCAGGTTTCTGAAATTAAAAAGCTCTGGAAAGCATCCTGTGAAAACGTTCACTAGTTTATAAGGGAAGGTCAGTGCCTACCCTAGATCAGGCTTCTGAATAGAACTCGGGAAGATCCTGTTGAAACATCACTTGCGTTTATACAGGGAGTGCAGTGCCAACCCAAGTCAGCGTTTCTGAAATAAACTCTGGGAAGATCCCTGATGAAACATCACTTATGGTTTATAAGGGAGGTCCAGTGCCACCCTAGTCAGGTTTCTGAAATAGTCTGGGAAGATCCTGCTGAAACATCACTATGGCTTACAAGGCAAGGTCAGTGCCACCCAAGTCAGGTTTCTGCGAAATGAACTCTGGAAGATCCTGTAAACATACTATGGATTATAAGGGAGAGTCAGTGCCACCCAAAGTCAGGTTCTGAAAAATAAACTTCTGGGAGATCCGTGAAACATCACTATGGTTTATAAGGGAGGTCAGTGCCACCCTAAGTTCAGGTTTCTGAAATAAACTCTGGAAGCATCCGTGAAACATCACTATAGGTTTATAAGCGAGGTCAGTGCCACTCCAGTCAGGTTTCTGAAATAAACTCTGGGAAGATCCGTGTAAACATCACTAATGCGTTTATAAGGAGAGGTCGTTGCCACCCATTGTCAGGTTTTTGAAAATAAACTCCTGGGAAGATCCTGTGAAAATCATAGTGGTTTATAAGGCGAAGTCAGTGCCACCCAGTCAGGTTCTGGAATTAAACTCTGGAAATCCGTCTGTAAACATCACTATGCGTTTATAAGGGAGCGTCAGTGCCAACCCAAGTCAGGTTTCTGAAATAAACTTCTGGGAGATCCGTTGAAACATCACTATAGTTATAAGGGAGTCAGTGCCACCCTAGTCAGGTTTTCTGAGATAGTCTGGGAAGATCCTAGTGAAACATCACATGGTTTATACAAGGAGGTCAGTGCCCACCCAAAGTCAGGGTTTTTGAAATATAACTCTGGGAAGATCCTGTTTGAAAACATCCATGGTTTATAATCGGAGTTCATGTGCCACCCTAGTCAGGGTTTCTGGAAATGAACTCTGGGAAGTCCCGTGAAACATTCACTGATGGTATATAAGGACGAGGTCAGTGCCACCCAAGTCAGGTTTTCTGAAATAACTCTGGGAAAGATCCTGTGAAACATCACTATGGGTTTATAAGGGAGTAGTCAGTGCCACCCTAGTCAGGTTTCTAAATAGTCATCTGGAAGCATCCTGTCTGAAACTCACTATGGCTTACAAGGAGTCAGTGCCACCCAAAGTCAGGTTTCTGGAAATAAACTCTGGGAAGCATTCCCGTGAAACATCCACTATGTTTATAAGGAGTCCAGTGCCACCCCAGTCCAGGCTTTGTGAATAACTCTTGGGAGATCCTCTAAAACATCACTATGGTTTATAAGGTAGAGTCAGTGCCAACCCAAGTCAGGTTCTGAAATAAACTCTTGGGAGATTCTGTGAAACATCACTTAGTTTTATAAGGAGTCAGTTGCCACCATATCAGTTTCTGAAAATAAACTCTGGAAGATCCTGTGAAACATCACTATGGTTATAAGTGAAGGATTCATGCACCCAAGTCAGGTTTTCATGAAATAAACTCTGGAGATCCTGTGGAAACATTCACTATTGTTTACTAAGGCGAGTCAGTGCCACCCTAGGCAGTTTTCATGAAAATAAAACTCTGGAAGATCCTGTGAAACATCACTCATGGTTTATAAGGGAGGATCCAGTGCCACCCAAGTCCAGGTTTCTGAAAATAAAACTCTGGGAAGATCCCGTGAAACATCACTATGGTTTATTAAGGGAGGTCAGTGCCCACCCAGTCAGGTCTGAGAATGACTCTGGGAAATCCTGTTGAAACATCACTATGGTTTACCTAAGGCGAGGTCAGTGCCACCCAAGTCAAGGTTTCTTGAAATACAACTCTGGGAAGATCCTGTGAAAATCCACTAATGGTTTGATAAGGGGAGGTCAGTGCCACCCCTAGTCAGGGTCTTCCTGGAATGAATCTGGGAAGATCTGTGAAAACTCACTATGCGTAATAAGGAGGTCAGCTGACCACCCAAGTCAGGTTTCTGAAATAAACTCTGGGAAAATCCTGCTTGAAACATACACGTATGGTTTATAAGGGAGGTCAGTGCCAACCCTTAGTCAGGTTTCTGAAATAAGCTCTGGAAGATCCTGTGAAACATCACATGCCGTTACAAGGGTAGTCAGCGCCACCCAAGTCAGGTTTCTGAAATAAACTCTGCGGAAATCACTGTGGAACAACATTCACTATAGTTGTAAGGCGGAGTCAGTGGCCACCCTAGTCAGGTTTCTGAATAAACCTGGGGAAGATCCTGTGAAACAATACTATGGTTTTATAAGGGAGTGTCAGTGCCACCCAGTCAGGTTTCTGACAAATAACCTGGGAAGATCCTGTGAAACATCAACTATGGTTTAGTTAAGGGGGAAAAAGGTCAGTGCCACCCTAACGTAGGTTTCTGAATAGAACTCTGGATAGATCCTGTGAAACATCTACTATGGTTTATAAGGGAGAGTCAGTGCCACCCAAGTAGGTTTCTGAAATAAACTCTGGGAAGATTCTCCAGTGAAACATTCACTATGTTTATAAGGAGGTCCAGTGCCCACCCCAAGTCAGGTTTCTGAAATAAACTCTCGGGAAAGATCCTCGTGTGAAAACATCACTATGGTTATCAAGGGAAGGATCAGTGCACCCAAGTTTAAGTATTCTGAAAATAAATAACTTGGGAAGATCCCGTGAAACCATCACCTAAGGTTATAAGGGGGAGGTCTGAATGCCACCCGAGGTTCACGGTTCTGAATAAACTCTGAAAGATCCTTGTGAAACAATCATATGTTATAAAGGGGGTCCCCAGTGCACCCAAGTCAGGTTTTTGAAATAAACCTGGGAAGCATCCGCGAAACATCACGGTAAGGTATAAGCGGGGGAAAGCGGGGGGGGGGCGGGGGTTCCCCCTGGGTTTTGCCACCCAAAGGTCAGGTTTCTGAAATAAAAACTCCTGAGAAAGATTCCTGTGAAAAAACATTCAGTATATGGGTTATATAAAGGGGGAGGTCAGTAAGCACAACCCCAAGGGTCAGGGTTATTTCTTGGGGAATGAAAAAACTTCCTGGAAAATTCTTCCCTCT